AAGTTCTGACTTGGTATCCTTTTCCAAGCATTATATTTAGCATATAGATTTGTACTTTACTTAATATAAATATTCTAGTTCTTTAATTTTTTTATATTCTAGTTTTCTTTATTTAAAAATAAAATAATAGATACAAAGCATATGTCTGTTATATACACAGAAAATCTGTCTCATATCAAATTCCAATTGCATACTTTGCCCTCTAAGAAGAAAAGCAATTTATCTCTTTTATTCTCCGAAAAGTATTTCAGTGTCTCAACCAAGAAAAATTTTAGGTTTTTTTCCAAAAAAATATTATGTCTACAGCAAGTAAATTTAAACAATTCATAGGCAAACATTTTAGCTGTTCACTAGCATTCTCTTATATAACTTCTAAAAGCTATAAATGTTTAAATCTCTCCTAAATTATCTTCTACAGTGGGAATAGCAACAGACCTTAGTTGGAGGCTGAGGGTGAAGGTGTTAGCATTCGTATCTCTGATCCTCTTGGGTAACAGCTTTGAAAACTATACCCACAAATTACACCAACAGTAGTTACATAGTTAACAAGAAAAACGCTTACCTATTCAGTAATGATATAGTGATGTGGCAGAATTGTCTGTTAAACTAAAAAAGTATTTTTGATATTCAAGCTGTACTATTTTTTTTTAATCCCAAGAAGTCCCTAAATCCTGTATGTTCAGGCCTCTTTATGTACGTATTACTGTTCCAACACTTTGCTATTATTTCTGTGACTCTATTATCAACCTAATTTTTAGCGTAGGATAACTAAACTTTTTTTCTTTGGAATCAGCTTTTTAAAAAATTTATCCCAGCTGGGCACAGAAAATATCAGCATCTCATAAGAGAGGTAGAGAGGCCAGGAAAATGAATTACATAAAGTGGCAATGAAATAGAATTCCTTTAGAGGTCAAGTGAAAACACAGACTGCTTTGTGAGTTAAGAACAAACAATACCATTTCTTTGCACCTTTGGTCTAAATTCCCTGTTTTGTTTAGTGTTAATCTTTTAGTATTATAATTAAACATGATTTTTCCCCCCAGTGGGGATAAAAAAATGAAAGCATACATTAGATAGGGTGATTTTTATAGTACATGAATACAGTTTTTTGTCACTCACACTTGGCCATAACATATCTTACAAGTTATATTAGAATGTAAAGAAACAAATGTTCCGTGTCTGCCTCTGCGCTAATTTAGGGGTTCATACATTGAATGCTTGCTCCATGCCAAGCATATGTATTTCTTGCCTTTAAGAGTTTACAGTCTCAAAAAAAAAAAAATAGTTTACATTCTCTTTTGGAAAATAATTTAATAGACAATTATAATTCACGTAGTATGTTTAATACAACTCTTCCTTTAGTTTAATAGATTGATTTCAATAGAAAGATAAGTGTCCTTTTATCTAATTATATCTCCTATTCCTTTAATGATTTGAGGTTACAGGGGACAAAAATATTTTCTCCAGTGATATTTTTTAGTAAAAGCAATTCATAATCCAGCATTGGGTATTTAATTTTAGGTTTTTTTATTTTTGTATTTTTTTTAAGAGACAGAGTCTCACTTTATTGCCCTTGGTAGAATGCTGTGACTCACGGCAACCTCCAACTCCTGGGCTTAGGCGATTCTCTTGCCTCAGCCTACCGAGCAGCTGGGACTATAAGCGTCTACCACAATGCCCGGCTATTTTTTGTTGCAGTTTGGCTGGGGCCGGGTTTGAACCCACCACCCTCAGTATATGGGGCCGGTGCCCTACTCACTGCCACCGTGGGTATTTAATTTTACAGGGCTTGTCTTTTTTAATTTGTTCACTTCATTCTAGCTTGTGAAGAAAACAAGGAAATCTCCATTATTACTTAAGAGAGCTATTTTCTAATTAAACTATTATGTTTTCACTCCTTTGAGTTAGGTATTGCTAATGAACAGACACTAATAAAATTAATCTAGGTAAGAAATTAAAATTTTTTTTTATTGGTTTAGAAATGTTAATAGTAGCTTTTTAAATAGTAACTTCTATTTTGATCACTAGAGGGCACTAAGCGTATAGCTAAGAAAAAAATTTTTCTCAACAGTTTTTTCCTGAATCCAGAAGTTTTCACTATAATTTAGCCATATATAGTATAAATCATTTGTTATGCAGCCCATAAAATTCCTTTCAAGACAAAAATCCTTTCTTCTAACTGAAATAGTCTCACATATGACTCCTGTAAGTTTTGAGCAAGAGACAAGTCTCTGAAATTACTTTGGTAGTCATCCACTTTAACTATTTAATTCTTAACTATTTAGCTTTATTATTCTTTCTTAAATTGGCCTTTTCTTACTGGTACTTTTTCTTTTCTGTAAAGCAGAAAATATGTTTTAATCTTTTTAAGGGCCATTATTTAGCTTCTGGGATAGCAAGAGATCCCGGAGATTTACACACAAAAGTTCCTGTAGGACAGAATACAAGAAGAACACAAACTTTGTCTTTGTTCTTGGTCCCCTGATGTCTAAATAATATTCTCACATTGTTAACATAGTCTTTCTTTGTTTTTTTTTGGGGGGGGGGCGGCTGAATATGATATTTTTGTGATTATTTTGATAATCAAGATGTTTTAAGTTGCAAATAACAAATATCCTTAATGTTTAAGCTATTATTAAATTGAGTTATTTTACATGACCAGAAGTTGTCCAGAGGTTGGGTGCTGCTTCCAATGATGGTTAGTTAGGTGGCTCCATCCGAAACCCAATGATGTCATTAGGAAGCCAGATTATTTTTATATTTCTACTCTGCCATCCCTGGTACATCAGATTTGTACTTTGTGTTGAAAAAGCTATTGCAATTCTAAGTTGAACTTATAATTGTGGCAAATTCCAATAGTAGAAGAGAGGACATTCCCCTTTGTATATTACTTTTTGTCAGCGTTCTTCTTGGGTCTCATTATGGGTCTCCTGAACATTCTAAACAATTCCCTGGCAAAGGAGGGAATTGCCACAATATGTGTAGACTGATAGAGGATGAAACCTCAGACAAAACCAGAAAACTGTCCACCATGAAGTTGGAGAGCACACTATTAGGCAGACAGCAGTATTTGCTTCCATTTGTTCCGTTTGGTTCACTTAGAGACTCTTCTGATACTCTTGAAATAAAATTTTTATTTCAGCTATTTCAAGTGCATCCCACTGAACAGAGTTACACAGGTGTCCCATACGCAGTTATCGCAGAGTCTGTCATTCAGTACAAGCTCTTTAACCTGCTGTTTTGTCTATGCATGCAGTTAGAGAAAGTATCTGCTAGAGAAACTATCTGCTTGTTAGTTTTATCATGCTCAGAGAACAGTATTTCCAAAATGCTTTATGAATCCAGTAACAGTTCAACCAAATCTGCAGTTATCTGGCTTGGTACCCATAGCTCAGTGGGTTCAAACCTGGCCCAGGCCTGCCAAACAACAATGACAACTACAACAAAAAAATAGCCAGTAGCCAGGCATTGTGGTGGGCACCTGTAGTCCTAGCTACTTAAGAGGCTGAGGCAAGAGAATCGCTTAAGCCCTAGAGTTTGAGGTTGCTGTGAGCTATGATGTCACGACACTATCTTGAGGGCGACATAGTGAGACTCTTGTCTCAAAAAAAAAAAAAAAAAATCTGCAGTTATCTGCTATGTGCACACAACTTTAAAAGGCACTAAGTCAGCTGGACACAGTGGCTCTGCCTGTAATCCTAGCATTCTGAGAGGCTAAAGCAGGTGGATTGCCTGAGCTCAGGAGTTCGAGGCCAGCCTGAGCTAGAGAGACACCCCCTTCTCTACTAAAAATAGAAAAATTAGCCAGGTGTAATGGCCAGTGTCTGTAGTCCCAGCTGCTCAGGAGGCTGAGGCAGGAAGATCGCTTGAGCCCAAGAGTTTGAGGTTGCTATGAGCATGGCATTCTATCCAGGGTAGAGTCTCAAAAATACATAAATACATACATACATACGTGGCACTGAGTCAAGCACTGTGGATGAGTTTAGACAGGACATCTGTGGATACCGCCACCATCTGCCTTGGAGCTCAGCCTGTCCTGTTGTACTCCCTAAAGGGTCAAAGCCAGCAGTCCCAGTTCTGTGATTCCAGCCCTGCAGTCTTCCCTGTTAGGTGCAGTAGCTTTTTACTTCTGGCTTCTTCTGGCTTACTTTGCTCTGGTTTTTCCATTTAACATCTCTGTGCTTCTTCGAGGCTGGTGCCCCTCATATGGTGCCCCTCATATGGGGAACATTACTGTGACGCTAAGGAAGTTTAAGTATCTAGAACATTACTGTGACTCTAAAGAACCCTGTTCCCTTCTCAGCTACTTTATGCCAAAGATGTGTTCTTGGTGCATTATCTGAGTGCTTATTTGTTTCTTGTCTGTATTTAGTAAATATATATTTAATAATTACAAGAATATTTATTAGTAACTGATATTTCAGATGCAGAAAGGTTTTTCACTGGTTTGAAAATGCTGATTTCATATTTCTTATCTGTTTGAAAAGTTTATTAACTCTTGTCAAATGGCCAGCCAATGTCATGAGCTGACATTTTCAACCATCATATTTTGTATCTTTTCTAACATCCTAGAAGGATTTGGAGAACCATTCTCCTACACAAAGTATCACAAGAATGGAAAAACGGGTATCACATGTACTCAATATTAAATTGAAACTAGTAGATTAACAACCACAGGCCCACATGAAAGAAAAACTCAGCCAAATTCAAGACAGAGAAGGAAAGGGGTTCAGTAAATTCTCATTCAACAGGTACATTACACGGATATATGCCATACTTCCTGGGTGAAAGATACAACTACAACTTAAACTTGACCTTACAAATACAAATAGTGTAACCTAATTTGAAAAGAAAGTATTCTTAAAAACAGTATGAGCAACATTGCTACGTTGTTCAAATATAGTTTTTACCTTTCGTCTATAGCTTTGAAAGAGATTGTTTGAGAATATTCCATGTCAAAAATATTTCTTTTAAAACTCTCTGGTATTTTTGTTTTTCAGAAAACTGTGGAATGTATTTTCCAGAAATAAAAAGAGATCCAGGCAGATATTTACACAGATGTCCTGAATCTGTCAAAAAGTGGCTTCACCAGCTAAAGAATGCAGGCAAAATTCTTTTGTTAATTACCAGTTCTCACAGTGATTACTGTAGACTACTCTGTGAATACATCCTTGGGTAAGTGATGAGTTGTTTCATGTTTATTCTCTTATAAAAACTGATAGCACACTGGCCCAGTGCTTTTTTAAAAGTGTCAACCCTGACTATATCATTATATTAAACATTGCTGAGTCATAAGTTGTTTTTTTTTCCTCATAACATACCTCAACCAACCCACCCACTCTTCCCCTCCTCCCTCCCCCAAGTGCATTTTAGCAAAGCAGTGGGCTGGGAGTCAGTATGCTCATAGCTCACTGATGGTCAGGGCTTTCAGATTTATGAAAAGTGAACAGACTGCATGTCCCTCTATCTTCCGTGAATTTGGTTTCTCAGCTTGGATGATTATTGAGGAACACTGAATTATAGGTTATATTCCCAGTGGAGCTCAGCCACTCTGTAGCCATTTCAGTGTCAAGCTATATACTTGTACAATTAGCACATCCCAGGATGTGATTAATGTCCATGGAAATCAAAGACGTATCAATACATAGACTTGAAAATAAGACAGACTTAGGACTGCTCTACAACTTACTATGTGACCTGAGGCAGGTTTTATAACCTCTTTAAGACTAGATCTCATCACCTTAGAAATAGTACAATAATACTGTGACTGGAATTTATTTAAGCAGTAGGTCCTTGGTCTCAGGGATTGGAAGAATGAACCCACAGACCACAGATCAGTGGTAAGATAGGATTTATTACAGAAGAAATACAGAAGGAGTAAAAAGCACCAGAGCTTCTGGCAGAGGGGAAGACCCAAGGTGGGAAGTCTCCTCCTGGGTCCTTTGTCTAGGGGGGTATAAGGTCTTAAGAATTACTTTTGGCCAGGACTTGGTAGTTGGGAGACACCTTTTCGGTGTTAATGAGCCTATTAACTTGGGACAAAAAAGCAGGGTGTTCCCTTCACTCACGAAATTGCCCGGGCCTAGGAAACTAGCGTCCTCTGTCCAGCCTTGATTGGGGGAACCTGAATAAATATCCCCTCACAGGTATGAGGGGATATTTAAATAGTAGTAGTAGTAGTAGTATTACAGTAGCTGATAAGTTTCAATGTGTTAATACTTATCTACGTCATTCTTGTGAACAATACCAGAAAACTTCCATGGTCAGAGCAAGATTCTACAATGGGCTGTTATATGTCCCCTAATAATCTTCAGATTTCAGTAAATACTGAATTGCTATGAGTTGGAATGATCTTTAGCCTCAAAACTGATCTCCACCAACTTTCTGTGTCCCTTAGCTTGTGTGGGGGATTAGTTTGTTCTGTGATGTACTTGCTATCTATGAAGGGATTTTCTGCTGTCTGAATTTATACATAGGCTTGGGATCCATCAGTAAATTAAGGCTGAAGTCCTGGTAGTGAGAACATGCTCTGGAATAAACACTCAGGAGATTTAATTTATTTTTCCTTAGCGTAAATGACAAAATTTTTCTCCCCACCTTAATTTCTGTTTATTGCTCTTTTGATTTGTAAAAAATACTTTGGAATATTGGGCAAATACTGTCTCCCCAATGTGACAGTGAGTTCCTCAGGGAGAAGGACTACCTTTCCTTTGTCATCTAAAATAATCCCTAGTGCAATACTAAGTACAGATTAAAATTCATTAGTTGTCATCTTAAAAAAAGGCCACATTATAAGACTATACAGATTTTCAAAATAAAATATCTTTTGAGCATTCTGTGAAAGATTTCACCTGACTTGCTCTAATACTGTTTTTTGTAGGACCCATGTAACACACAAAATTATTAACTCTTGAAGCTAAGAAATACAGACCAATTTCAATCCCCAGATTTGAAGATAAAAGTTCCAAATATTTGTAGCCATTAGAAACTGTTGAATTCACCACCATAACTATGACCACCATGAGAAAAGCCAGCCTAATACCTAGAGTCAATGTGCTATTTTCCCCCCCATGGTTATGTTTATACTTCAAAGAGTTGTCTGGAAGACAAGTGCTCAGCCACCTTCTATTTCTAGTTAATTTATAACCTGAAAATAAATTTATGGGAAATTCTGTTGCTTTTTAGGAATGATTTTGCAGACCTTTTTGATGTTGTGATTACAAATGCATTGAAGCCTGGTTTCTTCTCCCATCTACCAAGTCAGAGGCCTTTCCGAACACTTGGTATGTTGTGTTTGATTTCTTTCTTCTTCTGTGTACCTGTTGGCAAAGCACTGTGTTAGATGGAATGCCATGTTTTCTTTTCTCTTACAGGGAAGAAAGAAGATAAACCTCTGTTTTTATAAATTTTACTCTACCACTTTAAATCATAATTATTCATTTGTATGTCCATCTTTCCCTGACTTTACAAATGAAGGCATAGACTTTACCTTAGTTTTGGGGCCTAAGTAAATATTTGAAGGATGAATTAATTGTAATAAGTCAATTGGGTTATTGTCTGGAACAAAGGTGCCTGAAGAACATATGAGCATCATGACACATGAAACAGTCCTTTCTCTGGGGAACAGGCAAGGCCTTCAAGGAAGGTACTTAACAATTGTTATTCATGTAGAAGAAACTGCTAGAGAACGAGGTGGAATGAAGAGTGATCAGCTTTTGCAGATGAAAAAGAATGAGAATAGCAGAGTGAGATACTCACGGTAGGTACTCTCTGAAAGCTTCTTTAATAAATACATAAATGAATAAAAAGCAGAGCCTGATCAGGAATGGAGGAAGAGTTATAGATCTGGAGGGATTGAAAGAAGGGCAGTGAGTTTGTTGATATCTATCATGGCCTTTCTTTCTATTTAAGTACCTGTCAAGTAAGCTCAGTGCATATTAACATTTGAGGACCACTCAGAAGTTCTCCTAGGAGATGAGCATCCAAAGTGAACCCAGGAATTACTAGAAGTTGAAACACAGTGAATGGTTATAAACACATATAAATGTATATATGGTCATTAAAAGATAAAATACATAGACCTATATAGAAATCTAAGCTGTGTTTAAAAGAGAATGATGAGAAATTAACATATTATATATATAATACAATAATGCCTACTACATAATAAGCATCCACCATAATAAATGCTTTATAATTTATTTTACTTTTGATTCAGATGCTTGACATTATTTAAACAAATTGGGCCAGGTTGGAATGATACTTAATATGCATTTCATCTTACTTTCCTATGGTCACATGCTCCCCTGTTTGAGAATAAAATTTAAAATTCCTCCAAAAAGTGTTCCGTGAATCACATATTCAGTACCTCTACTTAATATGATAACAGAGTAATGTTCACTTTGAACTCAACCTCTTTATGCTATTCAAAAACCAGATTGAGTGCTAGGCAATTAACAGTGGCTCAGTACTGTACCCTGTGATGGGCTCATAAATAGTGAAACCCAAGTTAGATTCAGTATAACAAGTGTTAGGTGCCAAGGGACCCTCAGTGAACCAGATAGATGTGTAAATATTCATCAAAAGACTTTAGAGTTCTTGACTGAGTTTATAGTATGAAAATGTTATAATCTAAACTTAAAAAAATTCTGATAATAAACATACCATTTTAAAAATTGTTTTATATTTCAGGTTGTATAAAAACATTTTTATTCCCATGTTATAACTTTCACTTATTTTTTAGTGACAAGTAGAAGTTACGTGTATACTTATGATACACATTATGACATTTTGGTATCTATATACCTGTGGAATGGCTAAACCAATCTATTCCAATATGTATTACCTCACGTACTTAGCATTTTTTGTGTGTAGTGAGAACTCTTAAAATGCAATTTTAGCAATGTTCAAATATACAATATATTATTTTTAATTATAGTCACCATGATGTATCTTATATCTCTTTAACTTATTCCTCCTTTCTAACTGAAATTTTGTGCCCTTTCACCAACATCTCCCTAATCCCTTGACCCCAGCCTCTGACAACCATTATTTTACTCTCTGTTTTTATGAGTTTGGCTTTTTTTACATTCCAAATGTGAGTGAGATCATATGATATTTGTCTTTCTCAGCCTGGCTTATTTCATTGAACATTATACCTTCCAGGTCCACCCATGTTGTTATAAATGACACAATTTCTTTTTTAAGGCTGAATAATCTATTATGTGTATGTATCTGTATATTTACACACATACACACACATATATATATACACTCCATATTTTCTTTATTCTTTAATCTGTTGATGGGCATTTAGGTTGATTTCATATCTAAACTATTGTAAATAGTACTGTAATGAACGTGGGAGTGCAGATATCTCTTCAACATACCAATTTCGTATTTTTTGAATATGCTGAGTTATGTGGTAGTTCTATTTTGAATTTTTTGAGTAATTTTCACACTGTTTTCCCTAATGGCTATACTAATTTACAGTCCCACCAAGAGTGTACAAGGATTCACTTCTCGGCAGTTCCCTTTTGTCATTTTGATGATAGCCATTCTAGCAGGTGTGAAGTGAATTATCTTTGTGGTTTTAATTTGCATTTCCCTGATGATTAGTGATGTTGAGCCTTTTTTATGTGTCTGTTGGGAATTTATATATCATCTCTTGAGAAATGTCTATTCATATCCTTTTCCCATTTTAAAATAAGGTTATTATCTTGCTATTGAGTTGTGTTCCTTATATATTTTGGATATTATTTCCTTATCACATGTATGGTTTGCTCATATTCCTCTCATTCTGCAGATTGTCTCTTTACTCTATTGTTTTCTTTGCTGTTGCGTAGCTTTTAAGCATAATGGACTCCCATTTGTCTGTGTTTACTTCTGTAAAAAGTCTGCTTATGCTTTGGGGGTTGTATCTGGAAAATCTTATAAAAACTTAGTTTTAAAAAGCATTCTACTGCTTTTCATTCTCTTCTCTGGTTTCAGAGAGAAAACCAGAGAAAACAATCCTACTTTGTCTGGATTGACAAAGTAGGACCTAAAATCCTACTACCATTCTCATTTTATAGTCATCTGTAATGATGACTATAAAATGCCTAGCAACCTTAGAATATATAGGATTTCATGCTTTTTGTACAGATGTTTTTAAAAGTTTACTGTAGTTTTATCATATCCAAGAAAGATTGGACTAGAAGATATCTAAGGTTCATGCCAGCCTACATTTCCTGGACCTTTGATTTAGAATATTTCAGTGAAAGATACAATGGATCCTACAGTTTTTAGAATTAATATAAAATAGTTGATTCCCATTTAGAGTGCAAAAAAGATTGTCAGAACTGTTATTAGTGGGAGGGTGGTACTACTCATATTTAAAAATCTTGAGTTCATTACGTTCTATTGGAGTATTTATTTTGCTGCTAATAGTGATTCTTCAGCTACCTCTAACTGCTCTATCCCAGTTTCCACAGCTGGTTTCCCTTCACCTTTCCTTTTAAATGTTGATGTTCCCCAGCATTCTGTATGTGGCTCTCCTCTTTTCTCCTGTTGTCCTTCAGACTCATACAGATAAAGTTTTAACTATCATCTATACACTAAGGACTCTCATTTCCTTACCTCAACTTCACTTTTCCCTGACCTTCAGAAGCTTTTTTCTGTCTTCTAAACTCTCCACACCCCACAGCCCCACAGTCGTATGAAGCTTGATGTGCTTATAGCAGCTCGTTAAATCCTCCTCCCATTTTAGCATGCCTCTCTTCCCATAGTCCATAATTCTATGAGGAACTTCTCCAACTACGGACCTTAACCAAGCTAGGAAAGTCAGTCATCCTCAGTTCCTCTCTCCCCTTCGCATCGAAGTTACGCTTCAGTTTTCCCAGGTCTGTCCCCAGTATATTCCGACCCCGTCTTTATCCCTCAGGTGAACTGGTGCGATATGACACCGCGTCTGGGTTACCGGAGTACTTAACTCATCTCCCAGCCTTGGTCCAGCCTTGTAGCCTTAAGCCATCCTCTGTGACAGTTAAGTTAAGCACAACACAAGCGTGTCAGTCGGCTCCTATTTTCTCCAGTGATACGCAAATTAAACCTTTACTCGGCTCGGCTTGTCCTCGGCCAGTCGCACAGACTTGACGTCAGCGGTTGTCATGGTAGCGAAGGAACGGATGGTAATGGCCGGGCGAGATGGCGATAGCGGGGACAGGAGGCTGAGCCTGTCTCCCCAGCCTGATTCCTGCCAACGCTTACATCTCTTCTAAGCAGAATCTGCTCCTCCCTGTCCTCTCTCCTGCACCCGGCGTCGCCCGGACCCCGGCCGGTGCTGAGGGTGGTGAGGGCAGCTCCACTTTGCAAGAATATAAATTCCTTGCGCAGAGGAACCACGTTTGTCTAATTCACTGCCATGTCGCAGTGCTGCCATCTCATTCCTCGCCCCTGCCCCCCATTGTAGGAATCATAATCCACCTTGCCCCTTCTGGGCCTTTAGCCTCAGCTATAAACAGTACACTGCCTCCCAAATCTTTTCCTAGCTGAGACCTCTTTTTCCCAAGTCTGTTACGTATTTCTTCCTCCACACTAGACAGATCCAGATAGTGTTCTGAAACCAAACTTGATATTCTCCTTCCACCTAGAAACCAAACGCAGTGAAACATGCTGGTCTCCTTGGTTGTCTTATCTGCTTGCTTGACAATCCGTTAAATTGCTGCAGCTGAAAACCTCCGCTGTTTTCACTGATTGACATCTAGTAACCACATCGAGCCTTGTTCAGTCTGCCTCGGAAATCTCTCATCTCTGCCTCCCTCTTCTTTTCCCCTCGGCCTTCTAATTCCTCTCCACCTCTCTTCAAATACGTTTTATTATTAACACAGACTTCATTTGTGACTTGCTTTAACAATTTCCCGTATCTTTTATAGTATTCATTTACTCTCATTAGGCAAAAATTATTTAATTACATACACACAGAATCTCACTGGCTTACACTCCATGTAGTATCCTAAGGCTACTTGCCCAATCTAATTTATGAATTACCTTTTCATCCTCCTCACACTGTCTCTTCATACCGGTGCCCATTACTTGTGCTGAAATGATTGTTTTTCATTCTTCTATCAGGCTTTTGTTCCCACTGTTCTCTCTACATACAGATCATATCAGGATATTGTAAAAATGGAGATTCTGCTTCAGTAGGTCTTGGTAAATTGGTAGACTCAGTAGGTCTTGGTAGATTCTGTATTTCTAAACAAAATTTCTATTGAACTAGATGCTGTTGGATAGAAGATATTTTGAGTGGTAAGGATATACATGCAATGCCCTCCCCTTCCCCTATCTGATGGCTTCTGCCTCTGCTTTAAGGACAAACACAACACCTCCCTTGCTATACCTTCCTTCCTCTGCAGCTCTAAGCAGTCATTTCCTCTTCTGTATTGTTTAGTGCATTTCACTTGGCAATATTAGAGAGATCGATGGATTTTCTTTCTTACTGGGTTGTGAGTCCTCAAGGCAGCAGCTGTATCCAGGAATCTTTCTGTCTCCTAACACCCTGCCAACAGCATTAAAAGCTTGCTGAATCCACCAATATACTAGTCAAAACTCATTAATTTACGTAGCGGTTTGACTGTGTCTGGCCTATTGATTTGCTTGGCTTTGTATCGAGTTAAATTCAGTATTTGAAAGACAAAGCCACAGTTTCTAATCAAACAGAGACATCAGAAAGCACTGCCTGCCTGCCTTCCTGTTCCTATACCAGCAGTGACAGACTTTAGTAATTAAGTAATGTCTTAGTGTGTGCATTTAATTGAAGATTTTTATTCTGGAAATAAACTTCCCGTCCTATTAGGTATGGAAATGAGCTAGGTAATTGTCTTAGTCCATTTTCTGTTGATTATAACAGAATACCGGAATAATGCAGTCACCTCTTAAAGGCCTGACTTCTCAATACTGCCACATTGGGGATTACGTTTCAACATGAGCTTAGGAGATCAAAAATATACAAACTGTGGTGGTACTTAAGCATATTTAAACCAAAGAAAAAGACTTTGAAGGAGTTAGCTGCTATTGGTTATTAAAGAATTATGACTAGAATAGTAGTAGGTAAGAGTAAGAATTAGGCTTTCTCTTCTGTTAAAGCTTCTCTAGCTCACTGGTAGGGTATTGATTTTCTTTTAAAAGTATAACTTGTCTGTTATTGTCCCTAACACAAGTAAGCATTTTACTAGACCTTTTACTTGAAAAAGTCTTACTGTTCATTTGAAAAATTGGAGAAAGTATGTATACAAATATACAGTTGGGAAAGGTGGGATTCTAGCTTAGAATTAGGAAAGTTTTATAAAAACAATTATAAACAATTCAAATTCACAGGTTTTTGATTCTGGAAATCAAAGGAATTATAAACATATTTTTAATCAGAAGCTATTGTTTCATAGCCTCAAATAGGTTAAGAGATCACCTCCAGAGTACAGGCATCCTGAGGGCAGGGACATGGGCCATTTCATTCATTGCTACTCTTAGTGTCTTAAACATTCTGTGAAATATAGAAATAGGCTCGGAGCCTATAGCTCAACCGGCTAAGGCGCCAGCCACGTACACCTAAGGTGGCGGGTTCGAATCCCCAGCCC